AAATGCCAGGGGATTTCTGGCAGAGGCCATCTGCTGCAGCCGACACAGGACCCGAGAGACGATTTCTCTCTGACGCCGTCTGGGGCGTTGCAGATCGAGGAAGCCGGGATCGAGATCGAGGTTCCCCAATATTGCGTCGACGATGCCGGAAACAGCAGCGAGGTCATGCAGCTCGTGGCCCTCGTCTGCCTCGCGGAAGTCTCGCACGAAGAAAGCGAAACGATGTATTTCGTCAAATCCGTTCTCATCGTTCTGCTTGCCGTATTTCTGCTCCTCACCTTCCTCCTCTACCTCGCTCTGCCCGAGAGCACGAGCGTCCACGGCGTGACTCTCCTCTCCTACGTCGGCTGCCTCCTGGTTGCCAGCATTGCCCTCATCGTCGGCCAGATCGGCGCCCACAACGGCATCTCCAACGCCCTCTGCCTCGCTTCCGGTATCATTAAACATTCGCATGACGTCTTCGTTCTTCATCCGTGTTATGATGTAAATTCGAGGGTGAGTCAGATGAAAGCCGATCATGAGTCGTGTCGATTTCTCCACAATTTTATTAGAGTGGACTTCCCCCTCCCCCTCCCCCCTCCACGACGTTCAGGTGTAGGTACCGACGTCTCTTCACGTTTGTCATTCCCGGCAAGAAGAAGCATGGTAGCGGAAATGCGAACATTCTCCAATAACGGTCCCAAATTCGGCGCTCCAAAGTAAGCATCCTGAGAGCCTTTTAAGTCGCACAACACAGGTAAGTCGCACGGAGCGAGACCCGACCTGCTCGGAGGACGGTCCAACACCGTATGGCGGAGTCACGCCCCCTCCTCGTTCCCACGGGAACGGGATTGACAGAAAACGAACTCCTTTCCTCTGGATGGCAGGGTGCCGTTCATTCTGCGATGTTTTAGCGCGTCGAGCGCCGCTCGTCGATTCCCTAGAATCATGAATGTGCGCGTTCTGTGCGAGGCAATCCTTCGTGCATCCGATGCATGATCCGGAGTTTCATTTTTTTTTTCCCCACCGATTCTTCTCATCATGAATGTTGAGTGAGAAACCCGAGAGAAAGACGTTAAAAACTGGATCGCTGCAAGTTGGATGCCGATGATCGCAATCACGGCAGGAGCCGCCATCTTCTCGGCAGGAAAACTCCACGTGAAACACTCATTAGATGAAAAGCTGCGATCTCATCGCAGTCCTCGGACGACAGGTCGAGGGCATTCGCGACGTCTCTCGCGATCACCATCGATCTGGCGGCTATCGAAATTCGACTCACCGGGTTTCATTCGACTCGCCCACATTCCAATCGATCGGAGAGGTTCCTCCGTGTCGTGATCATCCGCGAACCCTTTTTTCTTCCCACCTCATTTATTATTCCCTTTTATTTCTCGTTCCCCTCATTTTCTGCTGTTTTCCTCGGGGAATAAAAAATAATTATTTGGGATCTTTGGAAAGCGAGACAAAATTTCCACAAAAGAGGATCCAAATTTCCCTCTTCTTTCTCGTTAAGACATTCATGCCGACCACGATTTCCGCCATCGATCAAGTCCTAAAGTCCACTTTCGATTTCGCTCTTCCAGCCCTGGTCACCTTCTTCGGCTACCTCGCCGCCTTCTTCTGGCTCAACGTCATGAGCTTCGACGTCTGGCGGACCGTCAGGTGAGCGAGGCGATCCCGCGAATTCCGAACGGACCGACGAAGTCGCGATGGCCATGGAATTCCTCCGAATTCTTCTCATTCTGGGCTGGGCATTCTCGAGGTCTTTTGCATTTCTCTTTCCCTGATTTTTTCGAAGGTATCTGAAGGCGGCGACGACCAAGAAGGAGAAGAGGAGGAAGCTCATCGGGTACGGGCTGTACGCGTTTGGGGTGCCGACGTGCATCTTCACGGCGGCGTGCGTCGTGGACTTCGCTCCTGGGATCCCGGATCACGTCATCAAACTGGGGCTGGATCCCGACCAGCGATGCGGGTTCAATGGTATTCCTTCGCATTCGTGTAAGCCTAAGATTGGGTCGCGTGGTCTCTAAAGAGGGGAGAGGTTCGTAGGTGTGGGACTGCGATGTAATTGCTTCTTTAACGATTTTCTTATTATAACTCCTTATTATTATTTTCATAATTTCTTTCGTGGAATTCGGTTATCCAAAAACACTTAGCAAAAGAATATAGGAGCGAGGATGGGAAGACAAGGCGGCAATATACGAAGGGCAGTGAAATGAAAACGAGACATGACACGAATCACCTCTTTGCTGCAAATCGGTCGCAACGAACGGTACATCGTTTCTCTTCGTGGTCTCCTCCATCCCACACCCGTCGATGCACTTGCGCCAGAGTTCCAGAAGAGAAGAAGGACGATGGACGCTTGCGAATCCACGCTCGAACCGCCGCTTGAGTCTCTCCGTCGGTCTTCGACTCGGGGCCGTCGGGTGGATGCTCGAGCACCGGAGACCAAGCCTCACGATGGTATCATCTATCACGAGCAGCAATGGAGGATGTCCCGTTTTCGTTTCACTGCCCCTCCTACATTTAAATGACAACCTGATTTCTCGAATCTAAAGTATCATACGTGTCTACACTAATCTGCACATATTGTATACCATTGGAAAGCTTGTCAGTCAGAGTCAGAACGAGCTATATATATATACCATGAGGTTTGCTTAGTCATCGTTTAACCATCGGCTATGAAACCATGGCTTAGGGATCCATCACGCAATCGAAAGTTGACAGCGGTTAACCGATGTTTAAACAATGACTATCGATAATCAATGTCTAAGATGAACATCGTTCATGCAATCGGCCTATGGAGTCCAGAACATATAAAAATCTCTTGTTCCCGATACAAACGGTTTACTTATCTAGGGTGATCTTATTTGAAAGGAGTTTTAAAAAAAAATAAAACAATGATAGCATTCGCATCTTCGATCCATCATATATTCGTCCTGATGCCGGAATGAGGAACATCCCTGAAACGTAATATAGCAAGTACGTTTCAGAGGTATATTAACTCTTGTCTAATCGTATGCCTCCTGCCTATCCATGGTTCGGACTCTTGATTGGGCACGGTGTTTTGCCAGTTCCAGGTGTATTCGTCTTGCAGAGAGATATGTCTCCAAAATTGTAGCACGTTGCCACAGATATTTATGGAGTGTCCAACTCATGCGCCATGTTGGTGCCATGCTTCCACTGCAAACATGCCAGCTAGGTTATTTTTGTCACGAATGTGCCCCATGCATAGGCCACATTTGGCTCACCGATGGGTGTGTGCCAACGAAAAAAGCGGACATTTAAGGAGTCGCCTACACCTACCATGTTGGTGCCATGCCTCCACTTTGAGACAGACCAGCCCAGCTTTTTTTTTTCGATGATGTGCCCCACGAATGAGCCGCACTTGGCCCACCGAAAAGGTTGCCACAGATAACACTCTCATTGGAAAACCCGCATTCGGGATGTCGTCAATTAATGGCCTCATGTTGAAACCGTAGGATGTGGGTTTTATGAGGGAGCCATGAGGATGCAATGGAGGAGGCGATGATATGGTCGGGGGTTATTGAAATGTTTCATTTAGACCAATTGTACCGTTTGTAGCAACTTATCTTTCAACAAACGTCATTTCTTTAAACTTCTACTTCATTTGGCTTCATTTTCTTCACCAATCATCGAAGCCATTCACTTTTCTCATTGCAATCCTAGTTTCCTAAAATCTTGCCTCAATCAAATGCTTCATCTTCACGTGATTTCGAGGAAGAACGGCGACATTCATGCAATACTCCTCCCTTCCTACAGAGCATCATGTCGGGACCATCTTGTACTTCTATGGGCCAGTCGCCTTTCTCCTGCTCGTTAATGTTGGCTTCTTTGCCCTCACCAGCCATCAGTTGATTCGAAATGCCAAAAAAACCGCTCAACTTACGAGCAGCCAAAAACCGAGCCAGAAGTGAGTTCCTGCGATCATCCCTGGTTTTCTTTTTTTTTCACCGATAAAGCCATGTGACTAAGCATAACCCGGAGAATTGAGGACGAAGTTATTCCCTCTTGGGAACAAAAGTTTTCTTTTTCATTCGTGACACCTACTTTTTCCTCTTCTTTTCTCGTCAGCTTTTGGCTCTATCTCAAGTTGTTCGTGGTGATGGGATTGAGCTGGATCACCGAAGTCATCAGCTTCCTCGTGAAAGGACCGGAGGAGTATTGGATCTTCACCGATGCCATCAACTGCTTTCAAGGACTTTTCATCTTCGTCATCGTCATATGCAAGAAAGACACCCTCGAGATCCTTCGAAGAAGAGTCGCTCGATTTGGCCGAGCGAATCGAGGCGAATCCGCCTTGGGGAATGGAGGATCCCGACCCTTTGGGGGCGAACACCCCGGAGCGACGAGACTCGGCGCCTTTGGGAGGAGCAGGGAGAGCGATAGCTCGGGGACCAGAGTGTCCGAGGTGTCCGCTCCTGACAATGTCGCGACCTCTCGGTTTTGAACTATACATATGTATTTCTTTGCACTTCCTGAATGTATTTTGCCCCAGAACCAGTCGGACCAACTTTCTTGCATCATGTGCACTGGAGCTTTTGAATGGACTCGTGGATGGATTGAATCGATTGTCGTCATCTGGAGTACGTAACGTGATTTCTATCGCAAATTCAAAGATTTGCATGGATTTCTCTTTTGACAGAAGTGACGTTATGCCTTTGAAACACACGATGATGGAGGTACGAATTTATTTCAAAATTTTTGCTTCCATAAATATTGAACCCAATTTTCTTGGTAGCTCATTCAGCCCAGAAAAAAAAAAAAGAATCATCACTCGGTCGAAGTAGAACCTTGGATATTGTCTTCCGCAGCATCTTATCTGTGGAGAAGCGAGATGATAAAAACGATTTTCTTGGTCGAAGTTCAGCAGGTCATCGATAAACGGCGGGAAGACACGATGCATCCCTTGCGATCCGCCGCAAAATTTCCCTTCCATCGAACCCTCGTGTCTCGGTCGTGTATGAGTCACGGACACTTTCGGGTCTCTCGGCGACGTCCTGGATGCTTACTCGTTTTGCGACTCCTCGAAATCGAACGAGAAACAGAAGAAGAAGACGATCCTCGTCCCGAAATGTTGCCGATTGGAGGAGGGATTCGATCCGGTTCAAAAAAAGTGCGTGCCTCGTCCCTTCAAGTGGACGCTTCCGAAGCTGCATTCAAGGGCGGCAGGGATCTGGAATCTGTCGGGATACGATTATCTGGTCCATGTCGATGACCTGGCTTCCAACCCCTGTTCCAAGAAGTACTCGAGGCCGGGCAAGGATCCGCGGCAGCATTTCACGAAGTTCAGGAGACGGGAAACCTTCTCGTCCCAGATATGAATACCACGTATCCGAACGGGGAATACTGCCTGGATCATTTACTTCTCTCCGATGGATCCTGGATCCAGATGGCTCTGACCTGCGATCCGGAGGAGAAGAGGATCCTTCAGGAATGCAAAGACAGGGTGTGTGTCCAAAAGTGCTGCCCCTTGGGTGAGTATTTAGACAAGTCCCAAACGAGACTCCAGTGCGTCCCGGGTGGAAAGATCTGGGATCACGAGGATCTTTTCGGATCCCATCACGAAAATGGACGTCTCACTGCGAACGAGATCCACGGCATCGCGAGCTACCCGAAATGCCAGGGGATTTCTGGCAGAGGCCATCTGCTGCAGCCGACACAGGACCCGAGAGACGATTTCTCTCTGACGCCGTCTGGGGCGTTGCAGATCGAGGAAGCCGGGATCGAGATCAAGGTTCCCCAATATTGCGTCGACGATGCCGGAAACAGCAGCGAGGTCATGCAGCTCGTCAGGGTCGGGATCGAGGATCCCGACCCTTTGGGGGCGAACACCCCGGAGCGACGAGACTCGGCGCCTTTGGGAGGAGCAGGGAGAGCGATAGCTCGGGGACCAGAGTGTCCGAGGTGTCCGCTCCCGACAATGTCGGGACCTCTCAGTTTTGAACTATACATATGCATTTCTTTGCTCTTTGAAATGCTTGTCATGTTGAATGCGTGGCATGCGAAAGGTGCGAAATATGCATATTTCTTAAAGAATTCTTTCTTTTCCGGTGTGATTCTCCAAATATATGGGGGAAAGGGAAAGAGGAATTTCGTCTATGGTTTTTAAATCCGAGCTAATGTGATGGAAGTACGAATTCATTTCGAAATAATTGCTACCATTTAAATTCAACCCATGAACTGCTCATTTTCAGGTTTGCTCGTTCGCAGCGCAGAAAGAAAATGGTGACTCGGTCGAAGTAGTAGAGCCCTTGGCGTTGTTTCCACAGTTCCTTATCTGTCCAGAAGCGAGATGAGAATAATGGTTTCAACTTCATGGTCGACGATCAGCAGAAAATTGGAAAAACGACGCGAAGACACGATCCATCCTCTATGATCTGTGCAAAAATTTCCTTTCCCTTGACCTCTCGCGGCTCGATTGTGTGAATGAGTCACGGACTCTTCCCCGAACGATATTTGTCAGGGCTATAATCCAAAACCGCAAAAAATGCTATCCGACGGCTAATGAAACAAACAGACCACAACCGCAGAAGTACAAATTCCAAAACCGCAGGGCGAACGGTAGGGTTGCACAATGCTCTTCCCTACTAAAGACAACGAAAGGGGAGGATAGCATATCATGCAAGAAATTCAACGCAGGGAAGAAAATTTCAATGTTAAACACAGAACCACGTGACTCTGAATTGAAGCGACGTAGAAGGAAACGACCTCGATCGCGACCAAGGACTTCACATGCCAATCGATTAATTTTATGTCGCCTCAAGAATGCACGAAAGTTGTTGTAGACTTAAGAGGATTTTCTCCAAATCCTCTCAAAGATACAGGTGGGAAAGGGAGGAGTTATCGCAGATTTCGGCCTAGGTTCCGCTGTTGTGGTAATCAGAAAAGGAAGAGAAAAAGGCAGCCTTAGGCCTAGGCCTAACGTTATTGAGTTTCGTAGAGAATGTGGGGGGGGGGGGGGGGAGGTTGAAGAAAGGTCAAACCATTGAAAATTGGTTTTCATATTACTCCATATTACGTATTTTTCCGCTTTGGAAGTGGCCTTCCATGAAAGGCATTATCGCTCGTTCGATTCATCTGCAGACTGGGTGAAATCTTTATTAAACATAATTTGGTCATTTTCATCTACGCTGCACGTAAGTCTTAATCTCGGAGATGATTTATTTAAAATGGTTTCTTGCGTTAGAAGAATTTGTGCTCTTATAAGTATGTCGTATCACTAATGTCACTGCATCACTAAAAATCGCGGAGCTCAAAAAAGCTGATAATGGGTCGCGGAAGGGACTCGATGAGGTGCTATCCCAAAGTGTTGAATGTGTTTCGGCTTCGAGTTCCGGGGATCCTGATAGACGCCTTCCTCGAACAGCTCCTTCCATTTCCAGCCTTTCGGATACTCGAAGTTGATGGTGGACTCTTCCAGCATTTCCGTGCAGAACCCTGCCGCCTGTCGAAAGAAGAACATCGCTAGCCACAATCGTTCCTTTTTTTTTCCGCCGTCCAATCCTCGAAATGAAGACCCTCGCATGACACGAGATCGACAATCTGCAACATTGAACTCATTAAAATCCTCGAAGTGTACCTCTCCTGTCAGTTATTCCCACAAATTCAGTGATAGGAAACGGACTAGTCTTGAAGTCTACCTGCGGACACTAAGGGTCCTCTGTTTCAATACAGAGGAACACAATACGACCGATTAGTGCGTTTGAATCGCCCCTCAGATAAAGAGGCAGTTCTGAGTCGTTCTAGAGTCTCATCATCCCACAATGCTAACTGAAAGAGTTTTAAATTAGTCGAAAGGTAAACCGTAAAAATTGTATGATGACTGTGTGAATTGCTGTTAAAAGGGTTAATTAGAATCTGATTTTCCATGAGATAAATTCTTTATATACTTATCGATTAGAGAGACTTAAGCATTCAACTTCGGCAGTTTTAAGAACCTTGTGCGTGAACAAATGAATATCCATGATAACCGGTATACATATTTATCCCCTCTGAGGTTAAATACAGCGTCGCCCATCAATGGTCTCCCCAAAAAGTAAAAGCTTATTACTCAGGAAGTCTACATCCGATTTCAATATTTGACTCATACGTACAGCAAATTCAACCTTATTTATTGTGGAAAATTTCAGCATTCTATAAGAAAAAGAGAACAAAGTTACTCCATAACAAATGAAAGCACCCACATCAAGCAACTAAAGACTGTAAATATCACTATCCCTTCTGAAATTCGCAAGTCCACTTTGAGTCTCGCAATTCATTCGTGGGTTTTTCGTCCTTTGCGAAGGATTGTCTGAGTCATGGCTGACCTCAGTATCCTGCAGATTTCTAATTTAGTTTGATAATTTGAATAGAGCAAATTTGTGTGGGGGGAAAAAATGGAAATTTCTTCAGTTTGGGTCCAAATGTCTGTTCCTGATGAAAAGATCCTGAAGGCAATTCATGAGAGGTTTCTGAACCTGAAGAGATTCATCGGTGGACCTATGACTACCTAGACATGCTGAAACAGACCATTAGAGACGCCTTCGCCACAGAGATGCTCGAAAGTAGTCTGTTGCCATTCAAAGAGGGACTGCACGAAGTCATTGAAAATATCTGGATGTCATATTGAACACTAGTGATTTGGGTGCTTTCATTCGTAAGGATGTAACTTTGTTTCAGTTCGATAGAAAATATTGAAAATTTTCATGATAAAATTATATTGAATTGGCTATCATGAGAGCCATATATCATTGAAATCAGATGCATACTTCCTGAGTAATAGGCTTTTACCTTTTGGGAGACAATTGTGGACCACCTGCCGAAGAGTTCTTAACATGGCTGCTCCTTGACTTAGGAAATGCCTCGATCTCATTTTCTCGAAAACACTTTATGCAAGGAGTGGCAGCCGGGCGTGGAACATTAAAGGTTTGCCATCTATCTCGATGACAAGTCTTTTCCAAATACCGGCCTGAAAACATATTTTATTGATCATAGACTTTTTTTTTTTTTTAACTATGGGGCTCCAAGGAAGCCAACCAAGAGCTGCCATTTGCTATCGGCATCATTTCATCTTCGTGCACTTTTGGAGAAGCTTTTAGAATGAATGGCAGTACATGATGCAGCAATGATGTAGAAAGCATTTCCTACCAAGGTACGAGTAATACCCAGAATTTTCCCAACAATGTGTAGAGTAGGTCTTCTTAACTGTTTCGCGATTCCACTCTCATTACCAGGCTAAAATTAATCCATCACCATTCATTATTTATTTAAAATAAAAACAATGCTGCTTAAAATCCAGAGCTTTCCCTGGCAGTAGCATCTTCCTCGTTTTGAAACTGTGATTGTTGTAGAAATGACCACAATCTCGGGAATACGTGCATACTGCGATGCAACGCCTCGTAAAATCTAGTCGAGAGGAGACAAATTGCGAACCGTCGGCGCCTGATAGTGGGCATTGCGAAGTCTGATGGGATGCATGAAGTGATCGTGGAGGAAGTCCGAGTACTCCGCGACTCTCCCCTCGACGGTCCCGCTCACGCTGATGTAGTCGAAGATGGCGATGTGCTGGATCATCTCGCAGAGTCCCACGCCGCCGGCGCTGGGGCACACGGGCACTGCAATCGATTTCACATTTCTGGGGTCGTCGTCGTGGGTTTTTCTGGATCGAAACCAGAGAGAAACGGCGGATCGTTACCGTTGTACTTCTTGGCCATGAGCATGACGGCGAGGACTTCGTTGACGCCGGCCAGGCGGCATGCATCGACCTCGCAGACTTGCATGGCATTCGTCTGAAAGAACTGCTTGAAGAGGACTCGGTTTTGACAGTGCTGACCGGTGGCCACCTTTATCCCCAGTGGATTCACCGCCTGGAAGATAAAAATATAATACGCTTCCTGTTCCGATGTCGACGACAAAGTCCTGTTTCGGGACCTGTACACTTAGGCATCCGTGGACAGACCAGGGAGATTTTGCCGTGTCCGAGGACATCGTCCGGGCTCGTAGGTTCCTCGATCCACATCGGCTTGAAGTCCTTCAGTTCCTTGATCCAGGCTATCGCCTCATCCACCTCCCAGCACTGATTCGCGTTCAGCACCTTTCGATTCCAAGAAATTCTCACATACTCGAGCCAAGAGGTCTTTTCAGTCACAATTGACTTGATCGTGTCGAGATGACCCCCTTTCATGCATCATGGAAGACCAGCACGAAAACTGAAACCGCCTCTGCATCATCACCACCACCACCCCCCCCCCCGCCCTCCCGCCCACACGGTGGGATTCCCCCACATTTGGGCTGCTACGAGGTCCACGACCTCTGCCATCCTCCCGTCCATTCCCACGCCGCACGACTTCCTGCGGATGCACTCGCGGTGAGGGAGGTGGAATGCCTACCAGTTCTCGGTCCCAACCGATGACGTCCCTGACGACGGCCAGGCGCCTCTTGTCGTCTTCAAGGGATTTCCCGACCTTGATCTTGAACTTGGTGAATCCATGGTTGATGGCGTAGTTCAACCGCCGCTTGATCTGCTCGTTCCTGTATCCCAGAGAACCTGCGAGAATTCAAGCAAAGTCCGAAGTGTGAGCACGTCAACCGCATGTCAATCCCAAGGTGCACGAAACGAAACGAGGGCGCACGGGTCGCTAATTACGAACTCGATCAGGGAGTGCACTTAGCCATCTCGGATTTTCTAAAACAAAAGGCGCTGCAAATCATGCATCGCTGGAAAGATCTCAAGCTAACCTTTCTAACGACACTACCCTCATTACCGTACGTGCACCACCGCATCAAAAAATACCCAACCAAAGAGGACAAAGAAAGAGAAAATTCCAATTTTTAGGTAAATTTATCTCTTCCAAAATGTCAAAGTAATTTACTTTATCAATGCACCTGAACGAGAGGTGCAACTTACCGTAACGAGAGGTTTGTCCTTTCCCTCACCACATATGGATATTTGGGCGTCAACACGACTTTCAAAATGTGAAATTTAAGCTAACTATGATGCTGAAATCTCATTCAAATTCCAAGGACGCATGAAGCGAAGTTCACCCATGAATGAGCTCAGGTTCCAGTAATTGCACACTTCCGTGCGATGAACGATGGTTCCCGAGATGGAAACTTTGCTGCCCGTTTTGGTTATCCCAACCCCTTTTCCCACAAAAGTTCGGGGAGCCAACCGCAGATAATCTGGAGGCGAGTCTTTTTTTTTCGACGGAGTTCCTCGATAGACCAGAAGAGCCGAGAATCCTCGCTGCGAAATCCGAGACGGTCGAGCCTGGTCGATTCCGCAAAAACGTGCCATAAAAAA